AAGTGAAAGAAGAAGTGTGCTGGCAAGTTACGGGGGAGGCACCCATTGGAACCAGATGGATAGATATTAACGAAGGAGATGAGTTAAGCCCTGACCACAGGTCAAGGCTAGTGGCCCAACAAGTTAAATACAACTCCAAAGAAAAGAATATATTTGCGGCTGCGCCCCCACTGGAAGCACAGAAGCTACTCTTCTCAACGGCGGTTACCGAAGGAGTGGGATTTAAGGCGAGCGCGAGAAAGGATTAAAGCTGGCATCCATTGACATTAAACGAGCTTACTTTTACGCTCCTGCAAAGAAAGACATATTTATCAGGCTACCGGACGAGGATTACGAGCCGGGCATGTGTGGAAAGTTACTGAAGCCAATGTATGGAACAAGAGATGCGGCAAGCAACTCGGAAGACTGTTACATGGACTTTGCCATTAAAGTTGGGTTCAAGAGTGGAGTTGCGTCACCGTGCGTGTTTAAGCACGAGACCCGAGCCCTATGGTTAACGGTCCATGGGGATTACTTTGCTCTACTAGGTGGTGACCTTGATCTCGATTGGTTTGAAAATAAAATAAAGGAGGAGTTTGAGGTAAAAGTGAGAGGACGACTTGGACCGGGGGAGGAAGACATGAAGGCGATCAGGATTCTTAACAGGATTGTGGAGTGGACTGAGGAAGGATTGAGATATGAGGCTGATCAAAGGCATGCGGAAATAATTGTGAAAGAACTTGAACTTGAGGGAGTAAAAGTGAGGACTGAGGTGCCAGGTGAACGCATTCCAGTTGAAGAGGGAGACGAGGTAGAACTTTCGCCCAGCATGACTAAGCGATATCAGGCATTAACGGCTAGAGCGAATTATTTAGCTCAAGACAGATCGGACATACAGTATTCAGTAAAAGAACTTGCTAGGACCATGTCAAAGCCAACTATGGGTTCGTGGAAAGGTCTAGTCAAGCTAGGAAAGGATTTGAAGTATCACAGCAGAAGCAGTTACGTGTATCAGTATCAAGAACAGCCTCGAGAGTTGACGATTTGGACGGACACATATTACGCAGGATGTAAACGAACTAGGAAGTCTACGAGTGGAGGAGTAGTGATGTGGGGTAAACACCTTATAAAATCTTGGAGCACAACTCAAAGTGTAATTGCATTATCGTCAGGGGAAGCAGAATATTACGGGCTTGTGAAAGGAGGATCAGTCGGACTAGGACTTCAGGCAGTGTTGAGGGATTTTAACTTGGAAGTTGAGATCACCTTGAAAAGTGATGCCACGGCTGCAATCGCAATTGCGAGTAGACGAGGTTTAGGAAAAGTAAGACACATTGAAGTATGTCAACTGTGGCTGCAGCAGAAGGTAAAGGAGGGAGTGATTCGAATTGTGAAAGAAGGTACACATGAGAACGTAGCAGATGCATTAACCAAGTATGTCAGTCGTGAGAGCATGAGCACACACCTGCTAAACACAAACCAATGTGCATTAACAGGTCTGCACAGCCTTGCGCCGGCCACCGAGTGTTGACATCCGCAGCTCATTTCTGTCAAGCAAGCAGTCTTGATTAAGGCTTCCTCCATCCTTTATTAAATCTTTCCCTGGAGCGTGAACGAAAGCATGGCGGACCATCAAGTCAACGTCACGATCAACGGCGCGGCGGTCGACCAGAGCCCGCCTGGGGCAGGACCGGTTACGCGCGAGAACCTCAATCGCCGTGTCGACGATATCGTCAACGTGGCTCATGCGTTTACCGTGACCCTCACCAACATGGCCATTAACTTCCACGGGGCCTATGATAAGCACGTTGACGAGATGCAGAGGGTTGCCGATGACATGGCGCGGAGGATCGTTGACTTAACGCAGCAGAACACCGCGTTGGTTCACGCCAGTGACGATGTCAACGAGAACCTCAAGAGGGCGCAGGACGAGGTTAACAACCTTGTGGCGACGGTGACAGAGTTGAACATCAAGAATCGCGACTCGGAGGTTAACACGGCGGAGAATGCAACCAAGTACCGGCGCATTAACGAAAATATCGGTTGCCTCTTGAATACCGCCAAGCGCCTTGCCGAGAATATCACGCCCCTGCAGGACTTCGAAGGTAAAAGTGATGCGGCGCTACGTATGCTAGTGGGAGTTACCGAGAGGCTTGAGGGTTTGCAGAAGTTCTTGGATGACCCGATCAACTCCTCGGTTACAGATATTCCGCAGGTGCCGCCGCCGTTACCTGGGTCGCCCCCGACGGCAGCACCCGCCAAGGCACCACCCGTTGCCGCCACCGCGGCAGTCGGGCCCATGGCCACGGGCGCGCCCCCAGCGCAGCAGGTTAACGTGGCTCCGCCAGGCAAGGCTCCCCCTACTCAGGACCTGGCCGGCGTAACCGCTAAAGCCGGGGGGAGTCGGCGGTCCGTGTCACCGAACAAGATTCGACCGTCACCGTTGAGCCGGCAGGGCGGTGAAGAACCACAGCCTGTTTACAAGCGGGCGCCGAAGGCCATGCGTGAACGTCAACGGGAGCTGGAGGAGTTGATGCAGATAGGCATGAAGATGGACGAGGATCGAACGGTTGGTGGTCAACGTGATGAGGCGCCAAAGGATCCTGCCCCCGTCGTAAATGCGAGGCCGGCCAAGCCGCCCCCTCCGGGGCTCGGCGAGTCCAGAGCGGCAAGCAGCGTTACCGGCGTGAAGCCCCCGCCTCCAGAGCCCAAGAGGTTACCGATCCAGCACATCCCGCCACCGCAGCCTCAAGTCGTTAACCGCGCGACTGATCAGGTTGAGGGGTACTCCAGGACCGTCGCCAAGGCGGTGCACCGCCCGCTGTACCACGTCAACGGTCGCATGTCCATGCTGAACGACAGGAGCGACGACTACGACGTTAACTTTCGGGCGGAACCTGACCCCAGGGAGGTGGTAGCCTTAACGATGAAGACACGTGATAACTGGCGCAGGTTTGAGGGTAGCTTCGTCGGGCACGTGGCGAAGGCGGGGTTAACGACCCCTGGCGGCAGGTCCATTCAGGGCAACACCGGGCGGGAGCTTAACGATTACGAGGACGTGTTCGTTGACATCTTCGGCCAACACGCTTACGGTTTCATCGGCTATGCCGTGTTGAAAGGTCCGATCAGCTGGAGATCTCAGTTAACGGACAAAGAGTTGACCAAGCATGATGAGTGGGTTGACGCGGTTGGGCACGTGCAGTCCCTATTTGACGATGACTACGTGCCACCGCTCTACCTTAACGAGCTTCACTCACCGTGGTTTGAGCACCACAGTTGCCCGGACACGCAGGTGTACGTCAACAAGGTGCCGGAGATGAACGAGAAGCAGCTTAACGGTCTCCTCTTAACGTGGGCAGGAATGCTGCCCCACGGCAACCCCACCGTGATCTCCGTTAAGCACCTGGTGGAGGACACCCATGGGCCGCACGGTTACATCTCGACTGGAGTTACCGTGATTCGCTTTGCGACGCCCGATCTCGCCAGGCTTTACTGCCGTTACATGAACGGGCTCCAGGTGCATTACCGTAACTACTTCATCGACGACCTCGAGGTCAGGAGCACCGCGGAGTTAAAGGGCAGTATCAGCAAGCCTCCAGTCTACTGGCACCAGACCATCTTGGAAGTTGCCCTTAACGATCAGGGATCCATGAGGGCACTTTACCGTGATAATTGGCCGGCCGATCATGTCACCGAGCGTAAAAGCGATCACCGTGAGAAGCTTTGCTGGTTTGGCTGGTTACCGTGCGACGACTTCCCCAACTGGCTTACCGATCCGGCCTGGACTGTGAACCCGTTTACCGGCGCTGCGGTCGAAGAGCACCTCCGTAACAATCCAGGCGGTGGGCCTCTGTTAAAGGCTCCCCACGCCAGTTACTGGAGAGTCATCGGCACTTACCACAACATCGTTGACGGCTCAATTAAGAGCTACGATGAGGGGTGCTGGCTTGACGACGAGGAGCGCATTAACGCGTACATGGACAACGACTACTACAGCCCGATGCAGGCCCTTAACAGGGTGTCGTCTTACACCGCAGCCGGCGCGGGCCATCGCGGGTTACCGAGGTCGAGGGGTTCACGAGCCCCGTCGGCGAGGCGCCCGCGCCGTCCGTGAAAGATGGCAGGCAGTCAGCATGCTGCAGTTCACGCTCTTCCTCATCTCCCCTCTTAACTTGGCTTAACGATCGAGCGGCGGCAGCTTGTTGAGCTGAGTTTGTTTGCATGCGCATCTCTTGTTGTTACCGCAGGTATTGGCGAATAAAAAGCGGAAGCAATCAAAATCATCCAAATGCTAGCCTGCTGTGTAAACTTTAGATGCTTCGTTTGAACTTGTGACAGTAAAAGCGTTTACTCGAGCTCAGGTTACATGTGTGAGAAACTTGGTGCTCGTAAGCGCCGTCACGAGACATTTCGAATTCAACAGTGTGATGAAGATACTTAACGTCATTTGCGTGCGACGTTTTGTATAGTTTGACTTGTTTTTGTGATTGTAGACGCCTCCCCGTCAGCCTATACGGACTAGCGTCCGAGGGGGGTGTTAACATGTAAGCATTCAGGTGACTGGGGAGTGAAGGTGCCCCCGTTACCTTTTGGCTCAAGTGTTTAACGGCTGAAGCTACCGAGACTCGCTTCGCCGTGCGGAAGTAAAAAGGTGACCGATCGTCATTGCTGTCACCGAGCTCCCGTGCAGAACCCTCCTCGGGGTTTTGCAGGAACGTTTTGGAACGTTTAGTTTAACCAGATGCCCAATCGGACCACGCACCCCAGACGAGGGGAACGAACACCACGCAGGCACCGAGGCCCCATGCGTGGCCCTCGCCTCCCCCCCCCGCCTTAGCTGCGGGCTTTCATGGGGACTGGTGCAGGCTCGGTTTCGGTTCGATACCACCTGCGGCCGCACACGCCGCACGCGCTCTGAAAGGAGAGACGGAGAGGCCCGCGAGGCTGCGGGCCTCGCCTCACGAGCCCACCCCGCGTCGAACTCCTCCACGACCTCGACCGTCCTCGTCCTCCGATTCGCACTAACGGGAAGGCTTGGCCTTCAAGGCCTGGAAGAACTTCTCCGTGAGGCCCATGTCCACGAGGACCCCGAAGGCCAGGTCGTCGCACCGCTCCGCCTGCGCCAGCAGGACCGCGCGTCGCCGTCGCCCTTGGCCTTCACCACAGTTGTGCCCTGCTTCTCCTCGAAAGCCTCCAGGTCCTCGTTGGCCTCCAGCGCCTCCGCCTCCTCCATGGCAGTGGTCTCAATCTGGGGCTCCTTCTCCATGGGCACGCCCCACAGCTCGGAGACTCCCACGAGGTCCGCGTCCGCGATGACCCCCCTGGCCACGTCGCGGAAAAGCACCGCCTGCTCCAGCAGGGCCTGCACGTCGCCGTTGCCCTCGGCCTTCACCACGGAGATGTCCTTGAACTTGTTGGCCTCCAGCGCCTCCGCCTCCTCCATGGCAGTGGTCTCAATCTGAGCACCTTCTGCGTGAGCTCGTGCATCTGCGCGGAGTCGCACTTGGTCTTCCCCTTGTAGAACCGAGTGTCCTTCAGGACCAGCACGTCGCCGTCGCTCATGGCCGAAACCAGCACCTTCACCTCGTCGGTGGTCTGGCAAGTTGGGACGCACTTGATGCCATCCTCCATGCGCTCCCTCAACATGTCGGAGCCGTTCTTGGTCACCCTTTTGCGGGGCCGCGTGTTCTCCAGCACCAGCACGTCTCCGTCACTCATGGCCGAGACGAGCTTGTTTGCCTCACCGGTGGCCGTATAGTCTGGGGCGTACTTGATGTTCACCTTGATCAGCTCCCCCAGCTTCTTTGCCTCTGAGTTCAGCCTGAGCTCGGACGACCCTGTAAGCGGTGGACTGATTGAGCCGTAGGCAGGATTTCCTGACGCATAGCGATGATCTGTGTTATTTCTGTCCAGTGCCTGGCAGCCCTCCACGGGCGCGGACTTCCGCGCGCCGGCCTTCGCCTTCGCCTTCGCCTTCAGCCTGAGCTCGCACCTCGGCACGCTGTTGTCGATCACCACGGCCACGTGGAGGCACGCGGCCGACCCACACTCCTCAACTTTCGGCTCGTCGAAGAACGCGTCGTCGTCCACCTGCCCGTGGATCTCCTCGGCTACCTCCTCCAGCTCGTGCCGCTCCACACCGCACTCCGTGTCCGCGTCCCTCGAGCCGACGATGAGCTTCGCGCCCGAGGTGTCGCGGAGCCCCTCGGACTCTCCGCCGGACAAGTCACCAGCGTAGGAGTCAGGCCCAACCATGGGGGCCTCCGAGCGGGCCTCGGACCCAGCGCCGGCGCCGACGCCGAAGCCGTCCCTGGTGATCACCTGCTCGACGCCGTCACCGCCGTCGCTGCCGACGGGCTTCACGGCGTCCTCCTCCGCCCAGCCACCCCCGCTCCCCGCCGGCGCAACGCCTGCTCGAGTGCCTCCTCTCCGAGGCCGGGGTGGCGGAGGAGGCCGGCGGCGGTGCCCAGCCCCCTCCGCGCTCGCTCTCGAGGTGCGGGGGCACCTCCCGCCCTCGGGAGCGGAGTTTCTGGTACAGTGAGCGGCTTGAGCAAGGAACACTCACTTTTCAAAAGGGGCTCGGTCGTTCCTTAGGCTTGCATGCGTTGTTTGCAGTCACTTATGCGTTATTTGTTATCCATCGTTCCTTATGCGTTATTCCTTGTTCCTTATTTATCGTTCCTTATTTATCGTTCCTTATTTATCGTTCCTTATTTAGGGGCTTCGTTCCTTATTTATTTATGGGATATATGAGGGGCTTCGTTCCTTATTTATCGTTCCTTAGGTCAGGCTAGCCCTTCGCCAATGCGCACTCCCTCCCCCCCGTCAGCGATCCGCTCGGCGCCACGGCCGATCGAGCGCCGGGCACCGGCGCCGAGGTGCGGGCGGAGCGCACCCGTCGCCGCCAGGGCTTCGGTGCCGTCCACGATGGGGGGCCACACGCGAACCCTACACCTTAGGCGATGCTTAAGAAAACCTAAGTTTTCGTCCAGAGTCTCGATTATTCTTAACTTTTCAATGTAAATCCCAAGATTTTGATAGAGGTTCTGGGTTTTATTCAATTTCTGAGACTATGAATTTCTTAACCCATGATTTCTTAAGCATTTCGCAGGGTGTACCCCTACCCCCCACGATTTCTGAAGGGGAGGGTGGGATTCACTTCGCTCGGGAGCTCCCGGGCGAAGTGACCCCCCCCCCTCAAAAGTCGTGGGGGGTAGGGGCAGGGTTCGCAGGTGGCCCCCTACACGACGGCAGGCGTCGTCGCCGCAACTGTGGCCTTCCGGAGCTTGCACATGAGTCGGGCCGGAAAAAAGGAGGGGATTGGGAAAGGGGGGGGTACGAAATATGCTGCATGCAGCTGGTTTCGGCCCCACCGAGGGGCCCCTTCCTCGATGCGTGGCCGCCTCCGGCGCCGGAGGCGCCGGGAAAATCAGCCACGTGAGCTGACTCTCAAACCCTCCCTTTGCTATCCCCCCCTGGGGCGAGGAGGAGGAGGAGGAGGAGGAGGAGGAGAAGGAGGAGGAGGAGGAGGAGGAGAAGGAGGAGGAGGAGGAGGAGGACGAGGAGGAGGAGGAGGAGGCCCGGGACATGGTGGCTGCCCTTCTCAAGGGCGGGGATTGCCAAGATTTGTGCAGAGCCGTGGGGGAGCGCGCGGGAGGGAGAGGGCGCCGCCAGGTTGTCCAGCGGGAGCGCGCGGGAACGCGAAGGGGGCCCCAGGTTTTCTTGGCGCGCTTGTCCAAAACGTCGTCCGGATTGGGGTCGTGCGCGTCTCGTCTTCGCTTCGCTCCGCCTGTCTTCCTTCCCCTTTTTCCCGGAAAGGGCTTAAGCCCAGGGTTCTCTTTTAGTTTGTAAACTTAGTCCCCCGGTGCCTGCTTGAAGGAGGCCGGCGAATTTTTTCCCTGATAAATAACGAGGTCGAAGGAGGCCGGCGAATTTTTCCCTGATAAATAACGAGCCCGAGAATTAAAATTAGAGGATGTCTCGAGCGAAACGCTTGTTTTTGAGGCCGGCGAATTAAAATTTGAGGATGTCTCGAGCGAAACGCTTGTTTTTGAAATCCCGACCTCACCACACCCCAGCACGCACGACCACGCCCCAGCACAACCACCCCCCAGCACGACCACCCCCCCAGCACGACCACACCCCAGCACGACCACCCCAGCACGACCACACCCCAGCGACCACTCCCTAGCACGACCACACCCCAGCACGACCCCACCCCAGCACGAGCACCCACCCAGCACGACCACACCCCAGCACGACCACACCCCAGCACGACCCCACCCCAGCACGACCCCACCCCAGCACGACCACACCCCAGCACGACCACACCCCAGCACGACCCACCCCAGCACGACCCCACCCCAGCAAGACCACACCCCAGCACGACCACACCCCAGCACGACCCACACCCAGCAGCACGCACCACACCACACCCCAGCACGACCCCACCCAAGCACGACCCCACCCCAGCACCACACCCCAGCACGACCACACCCCAGCAGGACCCCACCCCAGCACGACCCCACCCCAGCACGGCCCCACCCCAGCAAGACCACACCCCAGCACGACCACACTCCAGCACGACCTCACCACAGCACGACCACTCCCCAGCACGATCACGCCCCAGCACGACCACGCCCCAGCACGACCACTCCCCAGCACGACCACCTCCCAGCACGACCCCCCCCCCAGCACGACCACCCCCCCAGCACGACCACCCCCCCAGCACGACCACCTCCCAAAACTCGCGCTGGCTCCCTTCCCGTGTCGTGAAAACGTGTCCACGCATGCGGTTCTATATCCTCCTCCTCCTCCTCCTCCAACTTCCGTTGTTCGAGTGGCTCTCCGCGCCCGCGGGCGGGGCCGCGCGTCGCTTGCCTCCCAGGGTCAGCCGGGGGACTCCCCCGCGGGCGCGCGCTTGCCCGCGGACGGGCCGCGTGGCGCGTGTACCCTTAGGGTCAGCCGCGCGGCCTCTGGGCCGTTTGGCGATTGCACCCCCAGGGTCATGCCGGCCGCGGCCGCGTTGGTGTGCATGGCGGAGTACGCAGAGTTCGGCACGACCCCACCCCAGCACGACCACACCCCAGCACGATCACACCCCAGCACCACAACCCCAGCACGACCCCACCCCAGCAGCAGCACGCAGCACGCCAGCACGACCACACCCCAGGCCCCACCCCAGCACGACCCGATCGATAAATCACAGGGTGCACCCCAGGACCACCCCAGCACGACCACACCCCAGCACGACCCCACCCCAGCACGACCCCACCCCAGCACGACCACGCCCCAGCACGACCACACCCCAGCACGACCACACCCCAGCACGACCACACCCCAGCACGACCCCACCCCAGCACGACCCCACCCTAGCACGACCACACCCCAGCACGACCACACCCCAGCACGACCACACCCCAGCACGACCACACCCCAGCACGACCCCACCCCAGCAAGACCACACCCCAGCACGACCGCACCCCAGCACGACCTTACCACAGCACGACCACACCCCAGCACGACCACGCCCCAGCACGACCACGCCCCAGCACGACCACGCCCCAGCACGACCACGCCCCAGCACGACCACGCCCAGCACGACCACGCCCCAGCACACCCCCAGCACGACCACCCCCCCAGCACGACCACCCCCCAGCACGACCACCCCCAGCACGACCACTCCCAGCACGACCACTCCCCAGCACGACCACACCGCCTTGGTTGAGTGGTTGCCTGTCGTCGTGGAATGTTTCGTGGGGTGTCTCGTGGAATGTTTCGCAGGGTGTCTCGTGAAATGTTTCGTGAGGTGTCTCGTGGAATGTTTCGTGAGGTGTCTCGTGGGCTGTTTCGTGAGGTGTCTCGTGGGATGTTTCGTGAGGTGTTGCCCAGTTGGGTATCATGAAAACGTGTCCATGCTCCACATGTCTATATCCCTTTCCGGGTTCGTGGGTCCATCATGTTTATTCCGTCCAACTTGCATTCAGTATCAACTTGTGGCATATGTCTATAATCGGCAATGCTGTGCGTGATGAAGTTTTCGCTTCGCTGCATGTGTTAGATCCTGCTCTTGTCTCCTCTCTCTGTGCCCCCCAACGAAGCCGCTGGTAGGCATACATAACTCGCAACACAGAGCCATTGAAACAATATAATGTTGCCAATTTGATGTGGTGCCGCTTCCCTCTAGGGTATCAGACACTGCACTATGGCTCGTATGTGGTCTGTCTGTTGTCTGTCCTCTTTCTCGTCTCCCGAGTTGGCAAGTCGCGCGCACACTTCCACCCCTGTCATGGGGGGGGTCCAATATGGCCCGCCAGCAAACTGAGGTTGGCCCGATGTGTGTTCTCCGCGGCACTCTCGTATTCATCGCACAGCATTCCTCATCTGACTCCTCCTTCCTCCTCCTCCTCCTCCTCCTCCTCCTCCCTCCTCCTCCTCCTCCTCCTCCTCCTCCTCCTCCATCATCATCATCATCATCATCATCATCATCATCATCATCATCATCATCATCATCATCATCATCATCATCATCATCATCATCATCTTCCTCGCGCCTCTCGTCCTCTCTTCTTCTTCTTCCTCCTCCTCCTCCTCCTCCTCCTCCTCCCCTCCTCCTCCTCCTCCCCCTCCTCCTCCTCCTCCTCCTCCTCCTCCTCCTCCTCCTCCTCCTCTTTCTCCTCGGGTCAGCTGCTGCACCGTGGGTTCCCCGCCGAGAGGTCCGCGGCAGCGCGGCCAGCGAGGCCATGTCGGAGCTGATGTACCTCCGGGTGTGCAGCAGGCCGGGCCTGCTCTGCTCGTCCTCCTCGCCTGCCTCCTCGCCTGCCTCCTCGCCTGCCTCTTCGCCCGCCTCCTCTCCCTCCCTCCCTGCCGCCTCGTCCTCCCTCCCTCCTCCCTGGTTCCTCCCTCCTCGTCCTCCCCGTCCTCGTCCTCCCTGCCTCCCTCCCTCCCTCGTCGTCCTCGTCCTCTCCCTCTTTCCTGCCTCCCTCCCTCCCTCCTCGTCCTCAGGCCACCTGGGCCCCAGCCGCTCTGGCGAGGGAGCCGAAGCCTGGGCCCCGCCACGTGGGGGCGTGAGGGGCCTATCGTCGCCCGCCCACGTTCCTCCGAGCGGAGGATCGATCTGGCAAAGATCGAGGATCGGGCAGGGGCATGGAGTGCTCGGCTTGGTGCAACAAGGAGGTTGCATTTGAGACGCGTTTTGTTCCTCATATGTAGTGCCACCCGTGTCGCTGAACAGGCCGAGGCGCTAACATGTGTCTAATGCGTTGAATCATGTTGGGGTGAAACAAAAATCGAGGATCGGGCGACCGCGCTGCCCACTCGGTCTGCGGTCAGTTCCACTTCGGGCTTCTCCTCGCTCGCCGGTTGTAGCATGGTGGAGTCCCCTTCCCATCGGTTGGGAAGCTGGCAGTTTTCATCATCAAGGGTTCTTGCAGGAACTAAAAACATATTCTTCCACGCAGCCATGGTCCAAGTGCACGGCATACGGCCGCATAGAGTTCAATCACCTTCTCGAGCGGCGGGATCGTACAGGTCTGTGCGGCCGCCGGATGAAATTGCACGTTCCCAGGGAGGGCAAAGGCAAGAGTCAGGGCCAGGAGCCTCAGACCAAGTCCAGCACCGCGGAGCAGGAGGCGAAGAACGCAGCCGCTACCGTGGAGTCGGGCAGTCCAGAGCACCTCGCCCTTGTCGAGGAGACCCTTGAGGCCACATCGGACCCGCTGCTGAGGAAGCCGATCTCGGACGAGTTCGCCAGGGCCCAGCTGGAGGCCAGGGTGAGGCCCTCGCCCGAGGACCAGATGAAGCACCTCTCGGGCGCGTGGAAGGATGCAGTCACCAGGCATGACCAGGCTGTCGCAGCACTCCCGACGGCTCGGGAGAGTGTCCTACGCGCCGTTACCTGGGCCGGTGCTGACGAGGCTAAGAAGTCGGCGGCCGCCGTCCCTGCCAAGCAGTCGGGAGTCATGGGCCAGGGGGCCTGCGTTGGCACCAGGGCCCGGACCCCATCGCCGAGTCTTTTTTGTTAAGTTCGAGATCGACGAGCACTTCTGCCCGCATCTGTCGGGCCGGGCGAAAGGGGGGGATTGGGAAAGGGGGGGTTACGAAATTTGCTGCATGCAGCTGGTTTCGGCCTCACCGAGGGGCCCATTCCTGGATACATGGCCGCCTCCGGCGCCGGGAGGCGCCGGGAAAATCAGCTACGTGAGCTGATTCTCAAACCCCCCCTTTGCTATCCCCCCCTTTCGCCCGACCCGCATCTGGCCGAGCTCGAGGCGCGGAGGCTCTTGGAGTCTCAGCGGAGGGCGGCCAGGGAGCCGAGGTCAGCGGGAGCCGCCGGGAGGTCGAGGAGAGAGGCAGGGGCGCGCCGCCTCGCTCGCGGAGAGGGTGCCCAAGAGTCGGAGGTGGATCCTCCTCCTCCTCCTCCTCCTCCTCCTCCTCCTCCTAGACCTCCTGCCCTGACACGTCGCTCAAGGAGTTCGCCGTTTTCGCTTCGCGGGAGGGCGTCGCGGCTGTCATTGTTGCGGGTCCAAGCCCGTCGGTTTCGGTCCCAGGCCGTTCTCACGAAAGGGAGGTCTGCTAAAGGGAGGCTTGTCCACCGCCGAGCGAAGCGCAAGGGCGAGTCACCTCCTCCTCCAGCGCCAGCGCGGCCCTCGAGGGCGCCGTCTGGCGCAGCGGCGGCAGCGGCAGGGGCGGGGGAGGGGGAGAGCGAGGACGAGAGGCAGCATCGCGAGCGCACCGAGAAGGCCGCGGCGGCCATCTCCGAGGCGAAGATCGCAGCGGCCCAGGCGGCCAAGGAGGCGGCCAAGGCCCAGGCTTCGGCAGCGCAGTCATCAGCGGTAGCGGCTACTATACCAGCGGCTGCTCAGGCTGCGCCTAGCAAGTGACATCACGAGCCGAATGGCGCCGCCTTCTCTCATGCAGCATCACAGCGTCCGTCGACTACAGCCACTGCCGAGGCTACATCGGCAGAACACGACAGTCTTTCTTCCATGTTGTTTGCCAACCTCACTATTGCTGGCCCCAAGTCATCGGAATACTTGCTGTCCAATCAGCATCCAGAGTTTCACTGCGCATTTCTTACAGAGACGCACAGGCACCGCGGAATGGCAGAGGAAGGCCGAACTAGCAGGCCTCAAGTTGCCGGCGAATCCTGCGGGACCGACAGGACAGCAAGTCCAAGAGGGTTTCGAGCGTCGCTCCAACGAGGGGGGCGAGTGGTCATTGTGCCAGGGTCACCGTTCAGCATCTTCTCTTGCCAGCAGCTGGTCGCAGTTATATGCAAGTGGTCACAAATCCCTCGATGGCTTCCAGGCGGTCGCCGTCAACGTGCAGGCCTTCTCCTGCGTGGTGGTCTGCTTCTACGGTTTTTCGTTGGGCGGCTGGTCCGCCAGGAACGTGCAGAGGTATGCCAAGTTGGGAGCCCTGTTGAATTCGCTACAGTTACCGTGGGTGGTCATGACGGACTAAAACAGGAGCCCGCATGACCTTCGCAAGCACGGCTTCATCGGAAGAACCAATGGCACCATCTTGTCGGTTTCTAACACCCGCATCACGTGCACGGTGAGCAGTCAGAGCGAGGGCACTGAGAGAGATTTTGCAGTCGTCAGCACCAGCTTTCTCCCGAATTTTCATTCCATGGTCGCCCTCACCGGTGCCCCGTGGAAGACGCACTGCGGGCTTCTTCTCAGAGTCCGAGGCCAGGGGGGCCAGTTGGCCACTGGTGTTTTACAGCTGCCTGTCAAACTTCCGCAGGTAGCAAGGCCATGCCCGCTGCCCCATGGCGACCCAAAGAGTTCCAGATCCAAGTCTGATCGCCAACTGAAGTCAGCCTTAGCTCGAGGAAAAGTGAGAGATGAATGCCACCGCCTTTTTGGGGACGTTGCAGGGTGCGAAACACCCAGGGCCAGGGCGAGTCTCAGCGGCTTGATCCCGAGGTTTCGCTTCTCAGTCAGTCTGGCGATGTCCCTGTAGCCAGTCCTGAACAAGATTCTTTGGCGAGCCTAGTTTTTGATGCTTCTGGCGGCGAGGGGGGCCCGTGGGCCGACGAGGTAAATTGGGGGGATTTTGAGGGGGGGCCTGCTCCCTCGGCCTCCTGCGAGGGCCAGGCCCTCGCGGCCAAGGCGGGTGCTTGCTGCCTTGCGCCCAGCTCCATCGGAGGCCGAATGTCAGGAGGGGAAAAAACACAGAGACACAATTAATCGTCGATTCCCAGGAACATATGGGAAAACACGGGAAGTGGGGGGGAAGACAAAAACCAGAAAATATAGGAACACATGGGGGATATGTTTATTTGTGTGTATGTATTTGTGACTCCTGGGGCCCCTTCAGAATGGGGGGGCATGAACTTTCTGTGCTCTGTCGCGCGTGCTGTCGCTCGTGCTAGCAGCCAACCCCATGGAGAGCAGTGGCCTCGGGCGAACCGGGAGGGGGCGCGTCGTGTCGTGGAGCCCCCCCCCCCGCCGCGTGCTGACGAAGATCCGAGGCCCCCTCGCCAGTGGGAGCTGATCGGCTCCCCACCTCGATCGTTTTGGCAGGTTGTTTTCGTGCCCGCGAGCTACCAGGTCGAGGTCTTTGCCCGACCCTGGTCGCTGCTCCCAGCTGCCGCGCATCGATCCTCGAGCTCTTCGTGGCCTGGGTCACAGGTGTATAGTGGTGGATTGCAGTTACCGCTCGTTTATTTGTATCTGCCAGAGATGTGGCTGTTTCACCTCTGGGGCACGCCTCGCGAAACTCGCGAAGCCTTGTGTGCCTGTCTCGCATCCTCAGAAATGTGAGAGTTGGAGACTGCTCGGCAAGGGATTCCATCCCAAGAGGGCTGGGATCACAGTCGACACCTCCACTTTTTGCCCCCCGTAGGGAGGTCAGCGGCAGTGAATATCAGAATCCCTCTCCTCCTCCTCCTCCTCCTCCTCCTCCTCCTCCTCTTCCTCCTCCTCCTCCTCCTCCTCCTCCTCCTCCTCCTCCTCCTCCTCCTCCTCCTCTCCCACCAACGGGCCCGTCAACCTGGCCGACCACTTCGATGAGGCCGGCAGGGGCCTCCCCTCTTAGAGGCGCCGCGGACGCGCCGCCGGCGCATCCAGGTGCGTTCTGGCCCCGGCGGTCGCCTGGGCTAATGAGCTTGTCTTCCACCACCACCACCATAAGTTGGAGGGGGGAAGGGGGAGGAGGAGGAGGAGGAGGAGGAGGAGGAGGAGGTGGAGGAGGAGGACCCCCCGCTCCAACTTATGGTGGTGGTGGTGGAAAACACGCCCGTCATGGGCGCCAGGGCTTTTCTTCCACAGCCAGAGCCCTCGTTCGAGGTGCTGCAGAGGCGAGAACGAAGGGGCGGAGAGCGCCCAAGGAGGCCAGCCGGACGAGCCAGGCCCGCCAGGATCGCCACCGTTGGCGCCGGCATCACCGTCAAGGCACGTCAAGGCTAGCCCCCCCTGGAGAGCGCCGCCTGGCACTGGTGCTGGAGGCCGAGGTTGACAACGATCCCTCCGCACAGCAGGACGACGACGGTCGCGGCTCCCGAGGCCACCGACGATGGCAAGTACAGGAAGGTGCTCAAGCGCGATCGCAAAAGGGCTGCCAGGAGAGCGAGAGGCCGAGGAGACGGCAGCGGCTGCCAGCCGGGTGGCCTGTACCTCGGACTCGGACCTCGACGCATACGGCCGCAAGGCCCTGCATCGACTCACCTTGGCAGAGCGCCTGGACCTGCCGCTCCAAGCAGCTCACCGTCCCGGATAGCGCCAAACTTTACTGCCGAGAGTGGCATCATGGGCACCGCGCCAACGAGACCCATACGCCGCACTTCAAGAGGCGAGCGCCCTGAGGCCCGGCAAGGAGAGTGCTTTGAGGCCATGGGCCATACCCCACTTCACCCCCCGCGCAACGCCCCCCCCATCCCCCTGCAGTGCGCCCCCCGCATTGGCGCAGCGCACGCGTGCACCGTGGCCTCGTGACAAAGTGCGGTCGTAGCGCCTGCGTTGTGTTCGGACGTCCCTTTGGTGTTTCAGAGCGTGAATTAGTTACCTACCCCGCTTTCGCTTCCAGGCAAAACCAAGCCATACCACGCGCCTCCCCGTCAAGCTGCTTGACCAGTACAGGCTGCAATTTGGCATCGTTTGGTATCTCTTGGAAGCGAGGGTGGTCAAAAGCGAGGTAGGTTTGTTTTCCCCCGAGTGTTTGCAGGCTTTAGTATGGTTCGCAGGCTACTGGTGCTCGCGGACATATTGCGGTGCTCGTAGGCTACTGTGGCACTTGCAATGTCCGGCATGTTGTTGCGCACACATGTGGCGCTCGCGCCCTATTGTGATCTATTGTGGCACTGGCAGGGTTTGGCTTCCCTGGCCGCATAGCGGTTGCGAACGCAGCGTGGTGTTCACAAGCACGCTGCAGCGCTCGGGTTATTGCTGTGATGCTCCTCGACGACCGAGGCGCTGGCGACGGCTGCGACGGACGCCTTTTGCGGCGGGCGTTGCCGCCGCCACCTCCTGCCCCTGGGACCAGGGTAGGTCGAACATCGAGTTTGCGGCCAACTATCTACATAGGTTCTTGTTGCAGCATGTTTCAGTTGTGGCCTCCGAAAGGCCCCCGTGCCATTCTCACCCCTTGCATCCGGCGGTGTCCGGAGTGCGACAGTTTCGAGGATGCCGCTGCCGTTGTCATCATCGTCGTCGTCGTCGTCGGCGTCGTCGTCTTCGTCGTCGTCCTCGTCCTCCTCCCTGTCCTCACCCTCGCCCCCCCCCCCCTCTTAGACATGCATGAGAAGGCTCCGGCTTTTTGCCCCCTAGGCGTCCTCCAGGTCTCTGCTTTGCTTCCTTCTGTGACTTTCGACCTCCCCTCCTTTTTCCCGGAAAGGGCTTAAGCCCAGGGTTCTCTTTTAGTTTGTAAACAAGTCCCCCGGTGCCTGCTTGAAGGAGGCCGGCGAATTTTTTCCCTGATAAATAACGAGGTCGAAGGAGGCCGGCGAATTTTTCCCTGATAAATAACGAGCCCGAGAATTAAAATTTAGAGGATGTCTCGAGCGAAACGCTTGTTTTTGAGGCCGGCGAATTAAAATTTGAGGATGTCTCGAGCGAAACGCTTGTTTTTGAAATCCCGACCTCACCACACCCCAGCACGCACGACCACGCCCCAGCACAACCACCCCCCAGCACGACCACCCCCCCAGCACGACCACACCCCAGCACGACCACCCCCCAGCACGACCACACCCCAGCACGACCACTCCCTAGCACGACCACACCCCAGCACGACCCCAGCACGACACCACAGCACGACCACGCCCCAGCACGACCACGCCCCAGCACGACCACGCCCCAGCACGACCACCACGCCCCAGCACGACCACCCCCAGCACGACCACACCCCCCCAGCACGACCACCCCCCAGCACGCCCCAGCACGACCACGACCACACCCCAGCACGACCCACACCCCCAGCACGACCACACCCCAGCACGACCACACCCCAGCACGACCCGATCGATCACAGGGTGCGGAGCACCCCAGCACGCAGACGACCCACCCCAGCACGACCACCCCCCAGCACGACCCCACCCCAGCACGACCCCACCAGCACGACCACACCCCAGCACGACCACACCCCAGCACGACCAGACCCCAGCACGACCCCACCCCAGCACGATCACACCCCAGCACGACCCCACCCCAGCACGACCACACCCCAGCACGACCCACCCCAGCACGACCCACCCCAGCAAGACAGCACGACCACACCCCAGCACGACCCCCAGCACGACCACGCCCCAGCACGACCACGCCCCAGCACGACCACGCCCCAGCACGACCACGCCCCAGCACGACCACCCCCCAGCACGACCACCCCCCCAGCACGACCACCCCCCAGCACGACCACCCCCCAGCACGACCACACCCCAGCACGACCACTCCCCAGCACGACCACACCGCCTTGGTTGAGTGGTTGCCTGTCGTCGTGGAATGTTTCGTGGGGTGTCTCGTGGAATGTTTCGCGGGGTGTCTCGTGAAATGTTTCGTGAGGTGTCTCGTGGAATGTTTCGTGAGGTGTCTCGTGGGCTGTTTCGTGAGGTGTCTCGTGGGATGTTTCGTGAGGTGTTGCCCAGTTGGGTATCATGAAAACGTGTCCATGCTCCACATGTCTATATCCCTTTCCGGGTTCGTGGGTCCATCATGTTCCCGGAAAGGGCGGGGGCCCAGGGTTCTCTTTTAGTTGGTAAACCTAATCCCCCGGTGCCTGCTTGAGGGAGGCCGGCGAATTTTTTCCCTGATAAATAACGAGGTCGAAGGAGGCCGGCGAATTAAAATTTGAGGATGTCTCGAGCGAAACGCTTGTTTTTGAAATCCCGATCGATAAATCACAGGGTGCGGGCCACTTTTTCGTGTGTTGAGGATGTCTCGAGCGAAACGCTTGCTCCGCAGAGTTTGCCGAGGATGTCTCGAGCGAAACGCTTGTTTTGCAGAGCCGACCGCGACGCGGAAAAGCGCCCCGCGCGAAGGAATTTCGATGATGTCTCGACTAATTCCTTTGTTTTTGTACGATTTCCTGGAATTTTGGCAGGATGTCTCGAGCGAAATGCACGACCCCACCCTAGCACGACCATACCCCAGCACGACCACACCCCAGCACGACCAGACCCCAGCACGACCCCACCCCAGCACGACCCCACCCCAGCACGACCATACCCCAGCACGACCACACCCCAGCACGACCCGACCCCAGCACGACCCTACCCCAGCAAGACCACACCCCAGCACGACCACACCCCAGCACGACCTCACCACAGCACGACCACACCCCAGCACGACCACGCCCCAGCACGACCACGCCCCAGCACGACCACGCCCCAGCACGCCCCAGCACGACCACCCCCCCAGCACGACCACCCCCCAGCACGACCACCCCCCAGCACGACCACACCCCAGCACGACCACTCCCCAGCACGACCACACCCCAGCACGACCACACCCCAGCACGACCACACCCCAGCACGACCCGATCGATAAATCACAGGGTGCGGAGCACCCCAGCACGAACCCACCCCAGCACGACCCCACCCCAGCACGACCCCACCCCAGCACGACCACGCCCCAGCGACCACCACCCCAGCACGACCACACCCCAGCACGACCCCACCCCCAGCACGCACCCCACCCCAGCACGACCACACCCCAGCACGACCACACCCCAGCACGACCCCACCCCAGCAAGACCACACCCCAGCACGACCACACCCCAGCACGACCTTACCACAGCACGACCACACCCCAGCACGACCACGCCCCAGCACGACCACGCCCCAGCACGACCACGCCCCAGCACGACCACGCCCCAGCACGACCACGCCCCAGCACGACCACCCCCCAGCACGACCACCCCCCCAGCACGACCACCCCCCAGCACGACCACCCCCCAGCACGACCACACCCCAGCACGACCACTCCCCAGCACGACCACACCGCCTTGGTTGAGTGGTTGCCTGTCGTCGTGGAATGTTTCGTGGGGTGTCTCGTGGAATGTTTCGCGGGGTGTCTCGTGAAATGTTTCGTGAGGTGTCTCGTGGAATGTTTCGTGAGGTGTCTCGTGGGCTGTTTCGTGAGGTGTCTCGTGGGATGTTTCGTGAGGTGTTGCCCAGTTGGGTATCATGAAAACGTGTCCATGCTCCACATGTCTATATCCCTTTCCGGGTTCGTGGGTCCATCATGTTTTTTTTTTTCTCTCTCTCTCTCTCTCTCTCTTAGACTATTACATGCTTATTGCGACATTCACGAGGAGAATGTGGAGGGGAATGGGGATACGGCTAAGGGAAACAATGGAGCAATGCCCCCCCCCTCCCGCGCAATTCGAAATTGGCACGTTTACGCACTACCGCTCGGACACTCGAACTCGGAAGATCCAAAACCAACATTGAATCTGGGGGGAAGAGGCGGAGTTCAAACCACCTTATAGTGCGCGAGTGTTGCTCGATTGTTTCCGACACCTGTACGATGGGGAAGCTGGCACTCAGAGCATACAGGCCCGCTGTTTGGGGCTCTCGCCTTTCGGGCGGCATGCTTCCTTCGTGTGCTTGCTTTGTCGCCGGTTGCACTGCCGATGTCCCCGTGTCCTCATCATTCTCCCCCTCCAGCGGCCACTCGTGAGGTTCCGCCGGCTCGGGGCCCGCCTGGTCTCGCCCATGCGCGAGGGGGGCCACGCGGCGCCGAACGAGGTGGCCCTGCCGGTGCTGTCGACGAACATCCACTCCCAGGAGGGCCTCCTCAGGGCAGTGTGCCTCCTCGGACTCCCTCCCTCCCCCTCCCCCCCCTCCTCCCCCTCGTCCTCCTCCTCCTCCTCCTCCTCCTCCTCCTCCTCCTCCTCCTCCTCCTCCCCCTCCTCCTCCTCTCCTCCTCCTCCTCCTCCTCCTCCTCCTCCTCCTCCTCTCCTCCTCCTCCTCCCCCTCCTCCTCCTCCTCCAGCCGTTCTGTTCTGGCCCAGGTCCATTCGGGAAGTCCAGGGTCCCTGGGCTTGCAGTCGCTGACTCTTCAGAACGGCCGGGTGACTGCGAGCCATTTTGGCCACGGTCATTCTCTCCCACATTCCAGTCATTCCCTCTCTCGCGGCAGTGCCAGGGCGCGTCGAGGCGAGGAGTGGCAAGGAGAGGCGCCTGCCAGGGGAGGGTGGTGGAGCGCTCCCTGCGGCAGGCAGCAGCGCCACGGCGCGAGACGCTGGCCGCTCCCAGCGGCGACGGGCGGGGTTGGGGAGGTCCCCAGCGGCGCCCGCTGTCGCGCCCGCGCAGGTGGCGGTGCGACATCCATGACCGAGTGGGCATCCAGTCGGAGCGCACCTATTAAGTCTTCACCGGGGGTAGCATCTTCTCGGACATCAAGTACTTGATCCTCGGGGGGCAGACCGGGACTTCCGATGAGTACCCTGAAGGTCAAGGCCCCCCATAATGCTGACGGCAGTGAAGTAGTTTGTGAACAGCGGATATTGCAGCTAAGACCCCCTCCCCAGCCCTCCCTGAGGCAGTGCGAAATGGGGCCAAGATGGCGGTGAGGTACTTGAGCAGCCTGTGGGGGCCGTCGCAGCAAGCGCGCTTCCAGGCCTCCTAAATGGGGTTGGAGGATCGTGCCGCATCGCCGATGCACCGCCAATGCGGCTCGATGTGGAGCCCGATTTGCTTCGCGTCGATGTCGCGATGCATCGCCGACATCGACGATGCACCGCCGGTGCGTCGCCGATGCATCGCCGATGCGTCGCCGATGCGTCGCCTATGCATCGCCGACGCGGCGCGATCCTCCGACCCCTCCTTCGGGCGGGGGGCGCCGCGGCCGCGGCGCCCCCCCCCCCCGCGCGCAGGGAGGGGGCGCGTCGGAGAAAGCGGCGCCGCTCCCCGGCGGCGGCGGGGGAGGCGTGGATGCAGCGCCCCGCCGCGCCCTGGTCGACCAATTCGTCGCGCTTCGCGCGCAGTGGGGCTCCATGCCAAGAAACGCCCTGCTCGTCTCCAGGGTGCCCTGGGTTTCTGGGTTTTCGAAGGTTATGCGATGGAAAGCGCGACGTTCCCGCGCCGAAAATCCACGGGCGCCCCGGGGTCTCAGGGTTGGGTTTCTCGCGGGGGGCTTCTTGTGGTCTGGCCTCCACTGCGCCCCCGCCAGCCCGCCCAGAAAAGTCGCCGGGCGAGTTGCCTCGATGAGGGATGCGCAGCCGCGGTGGGGTCGCCCGCGGCTGCGCGTGCCTGTGTCCCGTCGTGCGCCCTCGTGCTTCTGCATCGCCGACCGCCTGTCGGTTGGCCCCCATCGGCACGTGCTCGGTGGTGGTAGACAGCTGGGCGCCTCCGGGTAATACTCTCGCTGAGTTGGATTGGCCGGCCACGGAGGGAAAGTCCGGGCGTGCGTGCGTGCACGGCTGATCGCAATTCGCACTCCCATCTGCTGCCAGCGCTTGGGGATCCCTCTGCGCCGCCGCCTCAAAAGTGTGCGTGCGCGCGCGCCCCCCTTCCCTTCCATTCCCCCTCCCTCTCCCTCCTCCTCCCGCCGTCCCTCTGTATCCTCCCCTCTCCACTTGGTGTTCGTGCTCCTCCTGCTCCCCCTTGATTCGTGCTCCTCTCGCCACATCCGCCCTGGTGAGGACGCACTGGCGCTGTTGTACCAGACCTTGTCCAGGAAGATGGTCTCAGGGGTCCTACAAAACAGAGCCCTTCTCCCCACCCCCTTTCACAGTTGTCGTCGTCGGCGGTGCCTGCGTCGTCCGCGTCGTCCTTCTGTCCTTTTTTCCCGGAAAGGGCGTGGGCCCAGGGTTCTCTTTTAGTAGGTAAACCTGTCCCCCGGTGCCAACTTGAGGGAGGCCGGCGAATTTTTTCCCTGATAAATAACGAGGTCGAAGGAGGCCGGCGAATTAAAATTTGAGGATGTCTCGAGCGAAACGCTTGTTTTTCAGAATTTCTTGAGGATGTCTCGAGCGAAACGCTGGTTTTGCAGAGTTGAGGATGTCTCGAGCGAAACGCTTGCTCCGCAGAGTTTGCCGAGGATGTCTCGAGCGAAACGCTTGTTTTGCAGAGCCGACCGCGACGCGGAAAAGCGCCCCGCGCGAAGGAATTTCGATGATGTCTCGACTAATTCGTTTGTTTTTGTACGATTTCCTGGAATTTTGGCAGGATGTCTCGAGCGAAATGCACGACCCCACCCTAGCACGACCATACCCCAGCACGACCACACCCCAGCACGACCAGACCCCAGCACGACCCCACCCCAGCACGACCCCACCCCAGCACGACCATACCCCAGCACGACCACACCCCAGCACGACCTGACCCCAGCACGACCCTACCCCAGCAAGACCACACCCCAGCACGACCACACCCCAGCACGACCTCACCACAGCACGACCACACCCCAGCACGACCACGCCCCAGCACGACCACGCCCCAGCACGACCACCCCCCAGCACGACCACCCCCAGCACGACCACCCCCCAGCACGACCACCCCCCAGCACGACCACACCCCAGCACGACCACACCCCAGCACGACCACCCCAGCACGACCACACCCCAGCACGACCACACCCCAGCACGACCACACCCAGTCGCACCCCCGTGGAATGTTTCGTGGCGTGTCTGGTTGAGTGGTTGCCTGTTCGTGGGGTGTCTCGTGGAATGTTTCACGGGGTGTCTCGTGGAATGTTTCGTGAGGTGTCTCGTGGAATGTTTCGTGAGGTGTCTCGTGGGATGTTTCGCGGGGTGTCTCGTGGGATGTTTCGTGAGATGTCGCCCAGTTGGGTATCGTGAAAACGTGACCATGCTGCACATGTCTTTATCCCTTTCCGGGTTCGTGGGTCCATCATGTTTGTCCATCCCTTCGTCCCCCTCCTCCCCTCCGTCCTTCCCTTCGTCCGCCCCCAGCTCTTGGTAGAAATAGGTGTCCGTGTAAGCTGGGGTTTTCGGCAGCAGCTTTCGTGGGATTATATTAGGGGGCCAACGCATGGAAAATATTGCGAACGGCTTTTGATAGGCCTCTTAGACGTTTCTGGGAGCTTCTCTCAGACACTTCGCAGACATTTACGGAAGGCTTCTTCGAGGTTTCCGAAACATTTCCGTCAGGGTTGTCGAGAGGGCCCTGAGGAGGTTACCCGGTTTTTTTCTAGGTTACTGTGAAGGCCTTACGGCCGGCGCCGCCAACCCTGAAGACGACGACGACGACGGGGAGGCGGAGGAAGAGGAAGAGGAGGAGGAGGAAAAGGAGGAGGAGGAGGAGAAGGAAAAGGAAGAAGAACAGGAAGAGGAGGAGGAGGAGGAGGAGGATGTGGAGGAAACACAGGAGGAGGAGGAGGAACAGAAGGAGGAGGGGAACGAGGAGGAAGAGGAGGAGGAGGAACAGGAACAGGAACATGAACAGGAGGAGAAAGGAGGAGGAAAAGGAGGAGAGGAGGAGGAACAAGAACAGGAACTGGAACTGGTTCACGTTCAGGAGCAGGAGCAGGAACAGGAGCAGGAGCAGGAGAAGGAGGAGCAGGAAGAGGAGGAGGAGGAGGAGGAGGAGGAGGAGGGACAGGAGGAGGAACAGGAGGAGGAGGAGGAACAGGAGGAGGAGGAGGAGGAGAAACAGGAGAAACAGGAGGAACAGGAGAAGGAGAGGACGAGGAGGAGGAGGAAGAGGAGGAGGAGGAGGAACAGGAACAGGATGAGAAAGCGAAGGAGGAGGAGAAGGAGGAGAAGGAGAAGAAGGATAAACAATAAAAATAGGGATGATACCGATCATACTAGTAATAATATGTGGATTGCAGCCGCAGGACCTGAAAATAAAGCCGACATACCGATAAACCGATAAACCGATAAAATATTTCGGTTGATCGGTATATCGGCAGATCGACCGATAAAACGGTATAATTATATCGGTTTATCGGTCGATAACCACGTAAACCGATAAAGCACTAAACCGACTCATCGCAAGCGTGTCCGAATCTCAGCGCAGTATGGCTTTATCAGTGTATCGGTTTATCGGTCTATCGGTAGGTTTCTCCGCTTACCGGTTTATCGGCTTGTCGGTTTACCAGTTTATCGGTTTATCGGTTTATCGGTTTATCGGATCGGAGTTGTCGTAGTTGTCCGAGTGGTAGTCCGTCGAACTCTTTCTGAGGACTCCTGGAGAATCCTTTGGACCACTCCGAGTGGTAATCCTTCTGAATCTTTCTGGGGACTCCTTGTCCTGAGGAACTCTCGGGGATCCCAAAGAATCCTTACAATAACTACTACTACAAAATCCACAACCATAACACCTACTACTACTACTACTACTACTACTCCTAGTTGTTACTACCGTTTCCGCTTTTGTCACCGGTGCTACTACAAGTACAATGAATACACATTATATTAATATGATTCCCATGCGTTACTCTCATTACTGCTGTTGTTATGGGTGCTGATACAACACCTTCGCTACTATCATTATTATTACAGCCACAAATATTATGGTTGATGCTACTATTATTATTCCATCTTATTCCCATGGGTTACGATCGTTAACACTACTGCTACGGGTACTAATGCAACTACAACTACGATTGCGATCACTACTTCAGCAACACTTGTTTGAGGCTACTGTAACTATGCGCATGTTTAAAATGATCGTTGCGGCTATTGCTAAAACTACTAAAGCATGCGTTCGTATGCGGCTATTGCGTTCGTTGCGCATGTTTAAAGCACAAATTCTAAAACTACTACTACGGCGCCAAATATCACTGTGGCTACAGCTGCGATGCACATGTGTTATTCTCGTGGTTGCTATTGTGTTTCATACGAGCACAGCTATTATAACTACTACTGCTCCTACTGCTACTGCTACCATTGCTGCTACTACTACTGCTAATAATACTCCCACGGCGCTACTGTTGTTGATATTACTACCACAACTATTGCTATCACTCCCTGCTACTACGAATATTTGTAAAGCTACAACGAGCATGCGGACGTTGATGATGATAATGATGCTGCTGCTGATGATGATGATGAAATTGATTGTGAACATGATGCTGAGGAGGAGGAGGAGGGGAGGAGGAAAACGAGCAGGAGGAGAGGGAGGAGGCGGAGGGAAGAGGAAGAGGGGGAGGATAAGGAAGAGGAGGAGGAGGAGGGAAGAGGACAACGAGGAGCGTGAGGAGAAGGCCTTCGGCGGCTGTCTGAGACTCGGTCACCCCAGGGGCGCGAAGATAATCGTGCTTTGCGGGTCGCAGCCTGGGCTAGAGAGCTGGCCTCCTCCAAGGTGGATGGCTTCGCGAGGGCGCGAAAAATATCCACAACCATGACAGCTACTACTACTACTACTACTACTACTACTACTACTACTACTACTACTTCTTGTTACTGCCGTTTGCCATGCGGATCATGGTGATGGTGATCGGCGGCAGCTGCGCGAACCGATGAGGATCATGGTGATGGTGGTCATGATGATGATGGTGATGATGATGATGACGATTACCACCATGCACCGAGGATGATGAAAGGGGGAGGGGGAGGAGGAAGCACAGGTGACCAGGATGAGGAGAATGATGGTGATGACGATGACGATGACGATGATGATGATGATGATGATGATGGTGATGGTGATGGTGATGGTGATGGTGATGGTGATGATGATGATGATGATGATGATGAATGATGATGATATGATGATGATGATATGATGATGATGATGATGATGATGATGATGATGATGATGATGATGCTGATGATGATGATGATGATGATGATGATGATGATGACGACGACGACGACGACGACGATGCTGATTACGATGATGGTACTGATGGCTATGATGATGATTATGATGATAATGGTGAGGTGGAGGAGGAGGTGGAGGAGGAGGTGTAGGAGGAGGATGAGCAAGAGGATCAGGATTGACCGACAGCGGGGTAGTGACGATGATGTCGACCACGACGATGATGATTATGATGATGCTGGCGATGAAGGTGACGATTGACAATGATGATCATGAGAGGGGCCTCGCCCAAGCCGTCTCGACACATACTAGGGCATATTAGGCCGTCTTGGAGGCATCTTTGGCCATCTTGGCCGCTGTGGTGATCACAAATCCGTCTCGGAAGCCATCTTCGGCATCCTGGACGCGTCGGAGAGCGCTGGGGCCGCGTCTGGGCACCGACCTAGAAAACAAACCATTGAAACAACGGGAAGAGGCTACGACGCGCACAAGGGGGCGTTCGTAAGAGGGACGCGTCCTTAAGAAACTACCGCAACCCTACCAGACAGCACTTGGCATTCTAGCACGCCTCAGCGTACCATGACACATTGTGGCGGATCTAAGGACTGCGACTATCAGTTTTCGTTGATGTAGGTCGTGATGGACCTAGTGCTGTACAGCTGGTATTCGGCTCATTCCGCCACCGTGCCTAGGTTGAGAGTTGGAGGCCTCTTGCATGTTCGTTGGGATATCACTGGGTGCCTCTCGGGGGCCTCATGGAGGCAATTTTAAGCCTCCTGGGCCAAGATTCGTCATCCAGGGGCGTCTGTCGGGCCTGTTCGGGGCATCGGGGAAGGCTATGGGGCCTGCCTCCTGTGGGCCTCCTGGAGCGGACGGCTAGAATTTTCGGTTCGTGTTCCCCCTGTTGGGCCCGTCCTTGGGCCTTTGTGGAGCCCTATTGAGCCCACCTGGGTCGTCT